AAAATTCCGCTGTGTTTTGAGTCTAGAAATATAACCCTGCATTTCGAATTCTTGATCGATGTTTTGACAGGTATAAGATAACGTTCTACAACATTTACATAGGTGTAGCATTTTCTATCTTCGCAGTAGTACATCGCCATTTTTGCATGAGCGAGGGGGGGTAGTAGACCTACATCGCAGTGGATCTGCCTGAGTGACCGTTGCATGAACTGCCAAATTGTTTTGTTAAATCAAATCGATTTACCATGATGTTAAATGCTAGTTTTCATCCCGTTCGGTAAGAATCGTTCTCTTGTTTCGACCGCAATTATAGAACTGTAGCACATGCCAGAGAATGTAAACATTATTTATAAGGTATGATTAATCGAGGGCGAACGTAACTGTTAACCATGATGGCGCGATGGCAACGCGATGACAACAAGCAAGTAACGTGGCTTAAGTTGCATAGAAGTCAGATTATAAGCTATAAAATGGTAGTCTTGGACTCTGTGTTAATGAGACCCTCCATTTTTGCGCTATTATGGAAAGTATGCGGAACAAATACTCGAATTCAGTCGACGTTAGCTACTCCTGAAAGTCGATAAACTGAAACTTTTTTCCTTGCATTAGCCTATTTCGACGTATTGTGACTTTCGGCTGCCGTTCCACAAAGGTTTATTTCAGTATATACACGCCTTGTCGTCAATACGTACAGTACACTGAGAATGCTCTATTAATATTGTTCATCATTGCCAAGGGTACAATAAGTTTCTGGGATTGGACTGTTTTTTCATGGCCTGCGAAAGTTAGCCAACCAGAATTTTGGCGTGGACGGTTCCTTCCTAGTCGTGGTCCATCGGCCAATCAGATGTTAGACGCTGGTGGCTCCTTTCTGGTAGTGTGCTGTAAAAGAACCAGCGGCGCTGAATTACTGACTCGGGGAACAGCTGATTCGTCTGTCGTTGTTATCAGCAGGATTCTGCGGATCAAAGGATCGCTACACGCGGAAATTAAACAGCGGCCATAATATGCCACCCACGAATATGTCGTCAAATTTTTAAAATTTCTTCTGTGTACTTCCACATTACTTTTTCCATGACTTTTCCCTGTCTATGTTTGACATTTACCACTAGTAGTCTCAAGTTATCATTATTTATTCCATGTCAGCATAGATGCTTTCATACTGTTGTTTCCATTTTTCATATCAAAGATGATGGCTTCTGCCTTGGAAGCAAAATGTGCCCCTTAATGCAGAACGTACCCTTGCATCGCTGCACCTTTGCAACAGCCAGTGTCTTATGAGCGTAATAAATAATTTGAAAATAAATTTAAACTGCATATATATTTGAAACACAGTGTGACAAGCTGCTAGCCATCTGCCACGCGAATAGAAAAATGACCTCAATATATGGAGGTTAACACTGAAGAATAAGGAATCGGGACAGGCAGCATTGAGTCAACGTGACGAGTTTGCCAAATTCGATCCTCTGAGTAAAAGTCACAACGTTTAATATAGTCTCATGTAGCGGCCAGACGGACCCGCTTCGATAAAAAAACTCTCCAATGTTATTAATGTCTTGCTGATTTATCGAAGGTCAGAAGAAACAATAAAAACTGGACGGAAACGATGGACCCACAGTTGGCCTTGAAAGCGGATGAAAAAACTACATGCGGTATGACAACACGAATAAAATGGTCTCAGTACTCTGTGCGTCTCTGGACCCGTTCCACGGCGACGGTTTGGTGATAGACTGACAAGAGACTGGTAAGAATCCCAGGTTCAGGGCCGACGTCTGGTAAAAGGTCCACACTTTCCCACCCATTTGTACCTACAACAGTAAAACACTTGCGGAATAAGATGGTCAACCAAATAAAGGGTGATACGCGTGGCTTCTGCAGACACGACGGCGGAAGGAGTTGAACGGTGTACGTATAGACGGTGGTTCGATTTGGCTAGCTAAAGGAGATGACGCGAAGTAGGTGGGAGGAATCAGATCAATGGACAACAAAACCTGGTCCTCTGAATTACCGCGACTGGGCAGGCTGTGCCTCGAACTGAAGATCAACCATACCTTTGTTCCCACAAGTGCAGCTAATGAGGAAAAACTGGAAGAATTTTATCAAGAACCGGAACAAGCATTGGCTTAACAGTTCACGTAGAGACTCGTAATGATACACTTCAGTGCTGAGGTCGGACGAAGAAGGACCGATGAAATGTTCGTTGGTAGACACGGCATTGGAGATCGACATGAGCGAAGGGATCGGCTGGTGACTATGGCAAAAACGAAGCACCTGTACATCGACAGCACCTGTTTCAAGAGGACGACTAACAGGAGGTGGACATGGATTGTACCCGAGACGGTGACGAAGAATGAGAGCGAATTCCTCCTGTTGGATAAAAGCCGCGTCATCTGAGACATAGCAGTAGTGCCATCGCTTAACACCGGCAATCGTCACAGACTGGTATGGTCCGGGCTGACCTTAGAGTAGAAGATAGTGAAGAATACACTGCAGATAGTAAATGGCAAATGACCACCAAAGGTATCTGAAAATGCGGGCTCCAAACGGGCATTTCCAGCGAAAATCAAAGTATGAAAACAGCTGTGACGATGGCAACGAGAAATTCGCCAAGAAGCTGAAGAATTTCTTTAAGTCAGCCGAGGCTGACACCAAAGAGACTGAAAGTAATAATCTCAGAAGAGATAAAGAGTTTGTTAGAGAAGCGGAGGATGATGAAGGCAGGTGGAAGCGACATTGTGGAATATTCTCGTATCTTCAAGCTCATTAGACGGAGGATGAAGGAGAAATTTGATGAGACCTTGCGATTGCGAAATTTACAGAAAGCAGCCGAGGACCGCAGAAGCTTCAGACGATGCATGAGAAACTTGACGTTGACTCTTTATCAGTCGACCATCACGAAGTTTAAGACTGAACGCATATGACGCATTAACCATTATTCCATCAGCCAGAAGGAAGAACGCGGCCGGTCTCTATACGGGAATTTCCGCGTGCCGCAAAGTAAATGATAGAAAGAAGACGCTCCGGCAAGTGAAATGATCGGAGCAGATGGTGAAACACTCTGGAGGGCTCTAGCCAAGAAGTACATTTGCTACCTGAAAACGGAAAGAACATCATCAAGATCAGAAAGGACTCCGGAAGCCGTATCAAATAATCGTGAGAAGGATGACTTGAAAAACTATCGCCCAATTTGCCTCTCTCACAAGTCCAAAATGTGTCCACTAGGATCATTATCAACAGAGTGTCAACATGTCTGAATTGACAGCAGCCAATAGAACAAAAGGAGTTTCAGAACAACTACAACAAAATGGACAACGCCCTTAAGTCAACTCCTCGAGTGTGGGAGGGGATTCTAGCATAGATTTCGTCGAGTGCGAGAAAGCATTCGACAATATCGAGTACAACTCAGTTTGGATCGCTCAAGCAGAACAGTACACCGATACCCGTTGCATATATCAATGAAAAGAGGCAAATTTTGTCTGCTTCACTGATGTCACACCATTCGCAACCTCCCTACGGATTCTACAGGAAAAGGCGTAAATTGAGAGAATACCATCTCCCCAACTTCTTCATTGCTTCTCTAGAAACTCTGATCTGGAGGATGAACTGTTATCGCGGAATTGCCATCAATGGTGAACAGCTAAGCTACCCAAGGTTCGCTGATGACGTGGCGTTGTTTGCGGCAGATGCCAGTCAATTATAAGTGCTCGGAGAGACCATTAAAAGTCGGACTGTGAATCAATCATTCAGAAATGAAGATACTGTAATCGGATGCTCTGCGAAAGGTCCAGGTAATATTAAACGACGTAAGATCGAAGTATATAAATATATTTACTTGGAAAAAAAGACCATGTTCAGACTGGAGAGATTCAATAGAGAAAGAGAGCCACTAGGCGCGTTTCATTCAATCAAGGCGGCCTATCTTGTTTTGGCGCAGACCTCTGGTTGGTGTCAGCGTTTGGCCCTACAGTGGCAGCATTGAATCTGTATGACATAAAAGTCTTCAGCTTCATCAATTGCGTGATTCAGTCCACCATTCATATGTCAATGGATAGCTCTCTGTGAGGGAAGTATGATGCCGCAGTCAAAGCAATGAAATTTTTATTACAATTTAGAGACCTCATCCACTCATCACGATAGAATCATAAAATACAATGAAAATCATCGACATCGCATTATAGTCGTCTAGAGCTTTCCACTGCTAGATAATATGATGGGTGAAGTCAAACTACTGATGCAGGTGACTATCTGCCAATGCCATAAATTGAAACTCTTGACCACAGACCACCTCCAGAAAGGAAGGCTAAGCAACTGTTCCTTGCAAATCCGACCGGCAAAAGGCCCAGGGGACGGCC